ACAAATAATTCTCATTTCAAAGTACAATAAATCATTAATTGCTACAAATAACTGTACAATCAGTCTACAAATTGATTCCTCATATAAACACACATATATATGGTGCATATATTTACTCAATACTACACTAACATTTATACTAATGTAATATCATAATTCATATCAACCTAGTGAACTGAATACAGTATGACTTCTTTAATAGAGAATGTTCTCATTATAAAGATGTCTAAATCTCACCTTTATAATGAGGACATTGTGTAATGTCCCAATTGGTACAAGCCTATACAAAGGTACCTCTGAAATGAGGACACCTCTGTATTAAGGACAGGTAGTGTGGGCCCAATGGTGTCCTTAATAAAGAGGCTACACTGTACATGTATTAAGGACAGGTAGTGTGGGCCCAATGGTGTCCTTAATAAAGAGGCTACACTGTACATGTATTAAGGACAGGTAGTGTGGGCCCAATGGTGTCCTCAATAAAGAGGCTACACTGTACATGTATTAAGGACAGATAGTGTGGGCCCAATGGTGTCCTTAATAAAGAGGCTACACTGTATGAAGCAATACTGTATAGCCTTCCTATAAAGGACAAACTATTTATTTGTCCATAAGTGCCTCCTGTTTAAAGGATTCGGTTCATGTACGACAATCAAGACACAGACAGATATCTAACTCCATCCTCCATAATTATAAAATGCCAGAGAGAAAAGAAATGTGAATTATGCTAACTCAAAATGTAAGTGCCATCTGCTCATTATTATTATCATTATAACTAATTATTATTGTTATTACTGTAAGAGTTGATTGCTGCATGGTTGAGTAGACAGGTGTGGCTTAAAATAATTTGCTAAATAAATCAAAAACATCTGGTCATTTTTCTTATACACCTCTTAAACCTCTTCATCATTCCTCCCCCTCTCTTTCTCTCTCTCCCTCCCCCTCTCTTTCTCTCTCTCCCTCCCCCTCTCTCTTTCTCTCTCTCCTTTTCTCTCTCTCTCTCTCTTACTCATTCTGTAAATCCAGTTCACTGTTTCTTTCTTTCAGTTTCAACTTGTGTAGCTCCACTTCTCCATCTAATGATTTCAGACTCTTTTGAAGTGATTCAATGACAACTCTCAGGTTTTCATTTTCAAGAGCATAATCAGAATTAGGAGAATTACTAGAAATGGGGAGAGAGAGAGATCAAATACAATTGCATCTGCTTTCTCTCTTCTCTTACATTTTGTGAATTGTTTCCTTAAGTTTGTCCACTTCATCCTGAAGGCTCTTAATCTTCTCATCCTTCTTGAATAACTTCTCCTGCAGCTGCATCAATTGCTTTTTGAGTTGATCCCGCTCTGATCTTGTTTCACTCAGCTCTGCCTTCAACTATACAACACACCCATTACAATTAATTCGTAAATTATTTTTATGAATTAATTTACTTCTAATGTTGCTCTGTCCTGATCAGTTAACTCATAGGTGGAAGTAATAAAACTACTTTGACCACTCCCACCTCTGCCACTCCCACCAGAATCATCAGAATTACATAAACTGTAAAACAGGACTCAATCACACACTAACATTGATAGCATCAACACCTCTTTCCAGCTGGTTCCTCCTCTTCTCTCTCTCCTTCCCCCTCCCTAATCCCGTCAGTTTCTGTTTGATAAAAGTTAGTACTAGAAGCGGAGGAAGAGGCCGTTTCCGTCCTCTGTAATGGCCTATCGCTTTCAAAAGGATCCTGATATCTATACAACAACAACAAGGAAATAAATAAATAAAACAGAGCAATAATAAGCAGCTGCTCTCACTCGCTAAAAGGCGAAAGTTTTCCCTCCAATTGATCGATGAATATTTTTCTGACGCTAACCGAGCCACTCCCAGTCGTCCTTAATAATTCTCCCCCACCTACAAACATGATATAATATATACACGTACATGTACATGTATTTTTTCATTTATACCTAAGCTGCTTCCAAAGCTTTTGTCTCCTCCAACTAACCCACTAACCCTGTCGTAATTTCTCGGAGATATCTACAAGTAGCCGCGACGTTAGCTCTTCTCAAGGTAACACTAGTAACTTACAGCTCTTGGTAAGGTCTTCCTAATGTCACTGTCTTTCTTTATCCATTCTGTACGCTTTGCCTGGCAGTAAACGGTAGTTATTATTAATTATTATTAATTGTGTAGTCTTTACTTGTAGTTTTCTGATCCAGTCGTGACAGGTTTCAGCTGAATCAGACGTCAAAGCAAAATATTGACCAGACTGAGTCCTAAACACAATTAATAATAATCAAAATAATAATTATTTAATACTTACAATATTATAAAAGTGTTCGATGTGTCTTCGTTCGAAGCATGCTCGTAAGCAGCTGCTGGGGTCACTTTCGCGTCAGCCAAACTGATCTTACTGTTAATAACTATTCATAACTATCAATAACTATTAATAAACCGACCCAAGGGGCGTGTGTAGAGATTGTATATACAGTTCCTTGCTCTTGTAATATTTGAGGACGCATTCTTTCTCGTCAAACCAAAACCTAAGTGGGAGGGAGGGTTAAAAATTATTTTCTACGTAGTAGGATCGTACCAGTATTTCTGTTGTCCTTTCTTAGTTGAATATAAACCTTAGGAGAGAGAGTTTAATGTAATTATTATAATTAATTAAATGAACTAATTAATTAATTAAGTGACATCATCTGTTCACCACAAACACGAATATTTATATTTTATTTATTCATTTTTTATTTAAAATAAAAAAATAAAATATAAATATTGGTTGTGCATGTATGCATGTACATGTAAAACAGTCAAAATATATCCTAATTTATAATAATAATAATAATATTATACTTACGGCCTTTCTTTTCTTTCTTCTCTTGCAGACTTAAATTACCAGTAAGGCTCAATAGAAAACCGAACTAACAAAGGAGAAACCACAATGTATATATAATGTATTTAGACTCATAAACTCCTTACTTTCTTATCCCCGCGCTCAGCCATTGCCTACACAGAATTAGACTAAAAACAAACAAAGAGAAATAATATTATTAAAAATAGAGAGAGAAATCTCTCTACACTGAAATGGTAACACACCAAATCAGCAATAGCCTATTGTGGTGGTAACACACACCCACTTTGCATATTATCAGCCACACCTCCATTGAGCCACACCTCTATAATAACTTTTTGCAGATTTTTGAGCAGGATTTCACAGCTTTTAGATCTACTACTCCTTTAAATATTCTTTTATATTCTATTGCAAGTATTAAATTTTCTTTTGCAGCTCAAAAAGCAACAAAATGAAACTAAAAAAGTAACTAAATCTTTTTTCAGTAATGATTAATTGAATTCAAAAGAGTCGCATGGATTTTTACATTCTTTGCAAAAGCTCAAAAACTTCACTACCTTTTCAAGGTATTTGCTTCATTTTTGTAAAGAGATGTTACTACATCGAGCCTGCACTACAGTGAATTGGATATCAATGGATTGTGTAAACAGTGTGGTATACATATAGGGGAAGTGATGTGCGAGTGTGGGCAGGTTTATTATTGTACCATTATATGATAACTGACACAAGATATAGCCTGATAGACACTTGTGTGCCATTCTGAGGGGCTAGTCACTTGGGCCCACTTCTTTTATTTAAGTCTGGCCATTTAAATTCTCTGGCTAACTGCTAGACAAAGAGAAAGACCCGGCTCATAGTCTCTCTATACAAAGGAACTTTAATAAAAGGAGAGGAATAAACGCTATAACTATTCTACAGTTTCAGTTACAAGCCATGACGATAGAAGAAGAAAAGAGCACAAGAGGAGCAGCAACAAGCGGGGCTGTACCGCTAAAGACAGCCTCAAACCGCAGCCCTTCGAGTAGAAGCTCTTCTCCTCGGAAATTCGCTGTAATCCGCAGCACAGCTGTCGTAGATCAGATGTGTACCCTCACGAAAGAATCCCACTCCACGCTGAACTACATAACGCCGCACTTTAGAGCAGAAGCAGAAGTACAAATCGGACCACTGGGAGAAGGAGAGGTGTACACCATAGGTTGGGTCCAAGCTGTTACCTCCATGGTCTTCACAAACACTTACCCAACTGGTCAATCCAGTTGGGAGATACAGGAGCTCAACACCGGTGAGACTGTGGCCGTAAGCGATGCAGACGGTCGTAAGTACCCGTGGTACGGGATTACGACCGAGTGTCAAACGGTCAGCGGCCCCGATCCTTCTCACAGACGCATAAAAGTCCTCATGAATGACAATTTCTCTCCAACGGTAAGCTGGGCAGTCCCTGTGGGTAGAGATCAGCCAGATGCATTACAAAGAGTGCATAGAGACCAATCATTCTTGGTGTGGTTAATAGCTAAGAATGAAATCACTGGTGCCATACAACCCCTGAAGGCATATCGCTGGAGAGCCATTATCAACATTGCAGTTGACTGCAGTAGAGAGATAGGACAAAGAGCTAAAGTGCTGGAGCCTAAGATACAAGCACAGCCATTGGAACTATTTGATCTACGCATTCCACAATCAGCAGTTCAGTCGCCAAGGGCCAACGAAGCACAGAAGTTTGTGTGGAGAACAAGAGAAAGTGAAATGATATTCGAAGTGTCTTGTAACCCACCATTACCACCAACACTGCAGCCTTGCTTATCATCTTCATCTTTCTCAAGTTCTTCCCTGTCTTCTCTCTCGCCATCGCCATCTTCTTCATCACTCTCACCCTCACCTCCTCCGTCTCTCTCTCCTTCTCCCTCACCCTCTCCCTCTCCCCCAAGCTCTTCAGAGACAAGGTATTGTGGATCCTCTATTCGCTACTCACCCTACTAGAAAGAAAATAAAAAGAATTGTGAAGATAATGTTTTATATATAATTTTATTTATATACTAATACAACACCAATCCAGTCTGGAATCCTACCCTCTCCCCATCTCTCTCTCTCTCTCTCTTTTAAATTTCTTTTTGTTTTATATCAGTTCTAACATCCAGACTCTCTCTGTCTTTATTTTTCTAAAACTGTCATACAAAATATCTCCTCACTCTTGTAATACTTTTAATAGCACGTTAATATTTTTATTTTTATAAACCAAAAAATATAACGCTTCTATTAACAATAATAATAATAATAATATTATCAACATTGTCATTACTACCAAGAAGTAACGATCGCCCAGACAGTCCGTGCAACAAAAAGGACATAACTAATTATCAGAAGTTGTATAATTTCACAGGAATTACAAAAGTGCATGGCTCAAAGCCAGAAAAGGCTAACCACATAATATAAGCATTAGGGGCTGAATGGGGCTCTATATGTCTGTGAATTAGTCAGGGCATTAGGCAAAGAGCCACCACTTAATTATGATATACTTATACTCTCAATATTATCAAAGCTTAAAAGTGTAACAGATATTCAATATTACTTTACTGGCATCTGTAATGTATAGCAGTCTTGCATTTAAAATTTATAAACTGGGCCCATTACAAGTAATGTAATCCCAACCATCTCTCTATACTGGTAATATGTATCTGTGTTAATGTATACCACTATCTGATGATATGTAATCATGTTGTGTGGTTGGAGGATATTTTGTAAACGAGGGTAGTTAGTGTCACTCCGTGTATGTATCAAGAAACAATACAAGATAGTCATTATTAGTAAATACGAGAATCAACACATGTAATACATGTACATGTACACACGTACATTCATGTTTCTGACTCCGCCCATTGAATTAATTAACGATCAACGTATTATAATACAAAAAAGAAAAAATGTATAGAAGCAACCAACAATGATAATAATGATTGCAGTTCAAAAAATACAAAAGATACAAAAGTAGCAGCGAGAGTTCTAAAACAGTTAAGTTTTTGCAAGCCACGATCCTAAAATGGCATCAATCTCCTTTCTAGCGGCGACCAGCTGTGGTTTATCGTACGGGTTAGCTGGATACATGTTAGCACAGTGGGCAGTGCCATTTATAAAGACGGCTGTGACGCTCTCCGAGACATTCGCAGTGACGCTGAGACTGTGCCAAGGATCTATGGAGCCGTTTGGAAACACAATATTAGTGACAGCTGTCTTATTGAAATTGAGCCCGCCATAAAACTCGTTTGTGTTATTCACATTGACCGGTATGTCCTTCTCGGTGAACCCAAACACTTGATTACATATGAGGGTATAAAGAGCCGTGTCAAATAAAGTCCCGAAGGGCTGGTGGGGCGAGTCTGCGGTCTGGAAGTACCCAAATGAGTCGCAGGTCTGGTACGTCCACTGGCGATCTGTGGGAAAGAGGAAAAAGGAAGAAGGAAGAGATAGAGAGGCTGATTAAAAGAGCGAATCACTTAGTTTGATCTAGTGGTGAGGAAGTGGTCTGTGAACTTCAAATACACAACCTACCACCAGCCAACCATTTTAATAACACACAGCAATTGTAAATATTACATAACCAACCACACATATGTACACGTACATATATACAGTATATTAATTTTATTAAATACATGTACACGTACATGTACATGTACACATGTATTATGTATATTTACTATTTCAGAGGATGTATAAAGTTTGATCTGTTCGCTAATTGAATGGATCTGGTGATGGTTCAATGGAATGAATGAGAGATGGCATTAGTAACAAAGACAACATAACAACAGAGAACAATGGATAGAAAAGAGAATCACAACCACACACACACACACACACACACACACACACACACACACACACACACACACACACACGTACAACAGAGCTTTCTACCTCTGAGATAAAGACACTTTTATAATAAGGACACCTTTATAATGAGGACACTTTTATAACAAGGAATTTTGTAATGTCCCAATTGGTACAAGCCTATACAAAAGTACATCTGAAATAAGGACACCTTTATAATAAGGACACCTTTATAATAAGGATATCTTTATAATGAGGACATTTTGTAATGCCCCATTGGTACAAGCTTATACAAAGGTACCTGACACCTCTGTATTAAGGAGAGGTAGTGTGGTAATTGAGTAACAAAGACTATTGTGTACATGGCCTATTGTTATCATTAGTATTGAGAGAAGGTTGTTAGGAAGTGAAAGGAAGGGATAGGCTGCTGTTGTTTGGGTGAAAGAGAGAGAGGACAGAGGGAAAGAGAAGCTACAGCAGCTCTGTGTGTGTTTTAGTTGGTGCCTTCAAATTCAATCTGAAAACCAGCAGCAGTTGTTTTTGAGGGGAAATTTAACAGTACTATAACAACAAGACACAAGAAAGAGAAGAGAAGAAAGATTATCTTGTATAAAGGGAGAACTTTACAGCCTCTATAATAAGATTATAATGAGGACATTTTGTAATGTCCCTATTGATTCAAGCCTATACAAAAGTACCTCTGAAATGAGGACACCTCTGTATTAAGGACAGGTAGTGTGGGCCCAATGGTGTCCTTAATAAAGAGGCTACACTGTACATGTATTAAGGACAGGTAGTGTGGGCCCAATGGTGTCCTTAATAAAGAGGCTACACTGTACATGTATTAAGGACAGGTAGTGTGGGCCCAATGGTGTCCTTAATAAAGAGGCTACACTGTACATGTACATATACAGTAAATGAAGAGAGAGAGTGATAAACTATTGTATACACAATGGCATTAGATTAACTGCCCAGGCAAGGAGTGGAATAACAGATCTGGTGTTTTAAATACACAGTATGTATACAATAGCAATAACTTTCACAGGACACACACAAGAGAGAGGAGAGGAGTGAGGCCAGTAGCTGGTGAGTTTATTTTTGATCTCTTTATGTATCAGTAAACTTTAATGTACAAGACAAGAGAGAATTTATAAAGTATCAGTGAGGAGATTGAGGTCTAGAAGTAATACAATAAACAATTCCTAATGCTTAATTTATACTAGGGAATGAGGTTGGATTATTATAATATAGTATAATAATTATTATTATTAGGTGGGGTACACAATTAGGCATAAATACAACAAACTTGACCATTTTTTACTATTTCACATGAATACGGACAAACATTTGATTTCAATATCTACATATGTACACCTCTCACCACCGGCTGTGGTGTAGTGTATATCATAAAATTTACTGCATAAAAACACTGAAAATCACAACATATACATGTACAGTGTAGCCTCTTTATTAAGGACACCATTGGGCCCACACTACCTATCCTTAATACATGTACAGTGTAGCCTCTTTATCAAGGACACCATTGGGCCCACACTACCGGTCCTTAATACATGTACAGTGTAGCCTCTTTATTAAGGACACCATTGGGCCCACACTACCTGTCCTTAATACATGTACAGTGTAGCCTCTTTATTAAGGACACCATTGGGCCCACACTACCTGTCCTTAATACATGTACAGTGTAGCCTCTTTATTAAGGACACCATTGGGCCCACACTACTTGTCCTTAATACAGAGGTGTCCTCATTTCAGAGGTACTTTTGTACAGGCTTGTACCAATTTGGACATTACAAAATATCCTCATTATAAAGGTGTCTTCATTTTAAAGGTATCTTTATTATAAAAGTGTCCTTATCTCTCACTATAAAGGTTACACAGTTTGTATACACAAATATACATGTATATATAAATAGTATATGTACATGAGGGTACAAGGCACAATAATTATCTCGTTATCAACATAAACTGGCCTATAGAGCTCTCATTAATAGATTGTCAACTAAAACAAACTGGAGGGGACCACAGGAGCCACAGAGGGCCCCATAGGGAAACAGCCTGGACCAGCCAATGTAAGCTGAAACCAAAAAATGTCCTGTAGTTTAGAAAGAAGACAGTAGGAGGAGGAGGGTTTGTAAAGAGTCCCTAAAACTAGACCTACAGTTATTATTAGTAATAGGATTATACTGTATTAGGTGAAGTGTGTGTACGTGTACAATCAACTATCATCACTAGAGAGAGGATTGTGTACTATTGAGAAAAGGGATTATTAGGAGAGAGGGGGGAGAGAGAGGGGAGAGAGAGAGAAAGCTATAGTTAAGGAGAAAAGGAGGAGAAAGGGCCAAAAGGAAACATTATGCCCACAAATGTGCATATATGTACATGTACATGTACTGTGATATGTCTCTCTGTGTGTTGTAATTTAAGATGGATTACTAGTGAAATACATCAAGACAACAGAATCAATACAAATAATAATAACAACAACACCAGTACATAGTGATACATATAAATGGACACTAATGAGAATGCACGCATACACACACGCACGCATCTCATTATACAATACACCCACTCATTTAATTAGAATTTGATATATTCAAATAAACACCCACTCATTTAATTACAATAAATCTTGCATTAAATTTGAATGGACACATACATGTACTACCGCAAACTCATTTAAATCTTTAAAGACCTGTACATTTAATCTTGCACATGTATATTTAAATTCTCTCTCTCTCTCTCTCTCTCTCTCTCTCTCTCTCTTTCTCTCTCTCCCTCTCTCTTTTTCTTAACCTCCTTGAGCAGGATCAATCGTGACATTGCTAAGAAACTTGACGTAGTCTTGGAAACTAACATCATTATCAAATAGAGCAGGAGACCGAGAGAGATGGGCTAGTCGGTCGATAGGCTCCGATATAGAATCGTTTGTCATGACGTCACAAAGAAGACTCATATTGTAGACCTAATTATCATAAGACAATGAGGGAATGATAATGACTAATGAAAATATTGATAAAAACAATAACAACAATAGTCATAATAAGAATAATATTGATAAATAATAGGAATAATAAAGATAAAAACAATGGCAACAATTATCATAGTGTAGCCTCTTAATAAGAGATAAGGACGCCTTTATAACGAGGACACCTTTATAATGAGGACATTTTGTAATGTCCCAATTGGTACAAGCCTATACAAAAGTACCTCTGAAATGAGGACACCTCTGTATTAAGGACAGGTAGTGTGGGCCCAATGGTGTCCTTAATAAAGAGGCTACACTGTACATGTATTAAGGACCGGTAGTGTGGGCCCAATGGTGTCCTTAATAAAGAGGCTACACTGTACATGTACTTACAGCGCTTCCCCTGCTGTCATTGTTATATTGAACTATTCCAGCAAAAATGCCAGCAAGAGACATAGCTAACATCTTCCCATCTTCAGGAGTTGTAAGACCCACAGTTAAACTGAGAGACAGAGGGAGAGAGAGAGAGAAAAAGAGAGGGGGAAAGATGCTAAAACAATACTTTAAGTTTCGTTGTTGACATACTTAAACATCTTGTCAAGGCTAGCCCATTTGCTGTTGTCCAATATTAATTTGTTTAATAAAGAGAAGGCAGCATTAATGGCTGCTACACAAGCAGGACCTAAACAAATAAAATTAATAAATAATAAAAATAAGATATAATAATTAGGCTACCCCTTTTAAATGAAATATTAACCAGCCCCAAATACATGTATGTATGAATTGTGTCATCTTACACAAACCCATGTACATGTACATTACAAAACAAACCTGCTTACTTCATACATTTACATTAAACAGTTTTAAAATATGTATAACATCCAGTTAGCCACCTGCTATGCACAGACACAAAAGATACAAATTGAATAGAAAAAGCATATGCCAATATTACTACAATTCTGCCTACTACACTTCAATAAATAAATATATACACACATACACACTACAGAGAGTACATTCCGATAATAAAAATTATTAAACATACAACTCATAACCTCTGTCATGGTGAGAGTCACTCACACTAGCACACGCCCAGACACAAAGAATGTCACAAACATTAAACGACAGCTGGTAGCCTACTGCTCACCTGTACATTATACATGCAAAAACATGCTAACATGCTTGACATAGCTGAGGCAATATGGTTAATGAAGAGTGTACATATGAGAGGCTAGACCTCTTTGATTAAGAGTCATTCTATACCTCCCACTCCATTACGAGAGGTTCACAACATTACTCATCTTTTAAAAAAATTATAAAAAGCTAAGTTTAAACCGTCATTTTATTACAGAATCAACATTTAACAACTTCATGTACAAACTTCCCTGCACTTACTACATGCATGTGGTCATAAGGGCACCTTAATAATGAGGTATGGCAACTTTGAAAGTTGCAGTTCACATAGGTGATTTCAATATGGACATTTTTAAAAACTTACACCAATTCTCTATGTCACTGTTTTCCTCAGTCTACAATCAGTACACTTGTATATAATAAATTTCAGTTTGTGTGTTGTGTACACTCTCTACTCTCATTGCACTCTTTCTCTATATCTGCATGTGCTTCTTCTGTCTCTCTGGCTAATATCAGGCCTAAACCACTCAACACCAACAGGTAATTCTCTTGTTGTTTCAACTTGAGATTTTGATTTACCAGCTGGGAATAGACTATGTATACCCACCTTCTTACACCCCTGGAGAGCCTCAAAGAATAATACATATGTATGTACATGTACATACATAGCTATTACTTCTTTGAACAGGTAATCTTATTTTCTCTTAGAATATCCTCATTATTGTCTCTCTCTGTCTCTCTCCTTTTGATGTCTACTTACTTTCCTCATTCTCTTTAATTTTTACCCACTTCCCTCCCTCCCTCCTCCCCCCCTCTCTCTTCATCAAACAATAATATTTCTAAGAAGACATTCACAAAGAGAGAGAGAGTGAGCTAGCCAAAGAGCTAAAGTGTATTAATAAGAAATAACAATTATTAATTAATAACAGTGCATATTGAATTATGTACCCGACAAGTTACCATTAATGTCATTTCAATGTCACCATCACTTAGAGCCAATTAAGATAATAAGATATACAGATACAACCAAAGTATATAATATATATATATATATATATCTAATTAAATAAGAAGGAATTACATTAGACACAAAGAGAGAGAGAGAGAGAGAGGAAGAAGATAAGTAGGCCATTACAGATACTGTGTAGGTGCTAAGACATTAAGACCATTAGCTATACAAACAATATTTAATAGACATTTGTCACTTTTAGGCATCGAATGACAGATATGTCTACACTCATTTATAGTATAGTGAAACTCGATACCACTCAACAAATTTATACATGTTTATTACATTATGCTAGTACTGTACGATGTGGTACATTTGGATTCGTGGGCGTGAGTGGGTGAGCTCACGAATCATAAAAAGAATATTTTAAATAATTAGGTGTAATTCCAGCTGTAACATAAGATTTGACCCGTTACAATCTCACAATATTTAGCATAATTTCTCCTTAAATGATTCCTCCTTCCCACCCTCCCCCCCCACCTCTCTCTCCCCCCCCCCTCTCTCTCTCTCTCTCTCTCTCTCCCTCTCTCTCTCTCTCCCTTACCATTTCTTGCTTGTTCCAATGAAGCACTAACAACTTCAAAATATTCATAAAAATCAAATTTTGCTTGTATAGGGGCAGAAGAAGCAATAGATCCATACACAATGTCAGGATACTTCATCCTTAGCCAGGCTGCAAGAGCACCTGGATAAGAACCACCAAAAGCAATCCAGCGATTGGCGTCAGTCATGTTGTATTTTGTGGTCATGTTCATACGGAAATAGGCTAAATCCTCGAGTGCTTGACGACTGTTTAGTAACGTAATGTAGTCCATGCTGAGGTCAGCACCTGGCTGACTCTTACCGTAAAACCTGAGAAGAGAGAGAGAGGGGGAAGGAAAGGAGGATTTTAAAATGTGGACAATTGATATTACATACTTGTACATGTAGATACATTTAGTTATACATGTACTTATGTTGTGTAGAAACTTTAGGTAAATCCAATTAGAATTAGATTTTTTACAAAATTTTTAAGTTGCAAGCCAAAGTGAAATTTGGCCAATGACCATGTACTGTAGTACATGGTCATTGGCCAAATTTGACCAAAAATGAAAAGGTGAGAATTCTCGATTTTTATAACGTTTCCTGATGCATATACATGTTCTTATGTTGTGTAGAAAGTTTGAGCTGATTCCAATCAAAATTAGATTTTTTACGTATTTTTAAAGTTGCTCCAAAATCGGACAAAAGTCCCTGTACTATAGTACATGGTCTCGAGCCAAATTTCACCAAAAATTAAAAGTACAGAATTCTCCATTTTTATAATTCTTTCTGATACATATACATGTTCTTATGTTGTGTAGAACATTTGAGCTCATTCCAATCAAAATTAGATTTTTTACGAATTTTTAAAGTTGCTCCAAAATCGGACAAAAGCCCCTGTACTATAGTACAGGGATGTTGGTCAAATTTCACCAAAAATGGAAAGGTGAGAATTCTCCATTTTTATAATGTTTTTTGATGCATATACATGTTCTTATGTTGTGTAGAAAGTTTGAGTTGATTTCGATCTAAATTGGATTTTTTACGAATTTTTTAAGTTGCTCTAAATTAAGAAAAATAATTAATTAATCAATTACCTGTGTTCTAACTGAAACGCCAATGCATGATACTTCTCAGCTAATACCATCATCTCTCCCTCAACGACCCACTTAGGATCAGCCTCCCCCTCCCCTCCTATCATTAAGAACACTGGCCCATTCTCCTTATCCCAGAAACTGTCGTTAACCCAGTAACGTTGCTGCCAGGTTGTCGTATCAACTTCTCTGAAGTGATCACGTGATTGAGTAAACCAGAGATCTTTGGGCAGTTTGAGGTCTTGAGAGGACAAGTGGCGAAAGTATTTCTCTCTCTGGAGCCATTTATGACGGAGGAATGTTGGTAGAGAGTGAGAGAAGGAGAGAAAGAAAAGGAGAATTATTAGTGTTTCTGCCTTCATTTTGTCACGTGTGAATAGGCGTGGCTCAAATTAATTACTTAATTTAATAACTGGTTACTAGTTATTAAAAATTAAATGGCGGCAGCAAGAAAAAGTGTAAGAAACCCTATTTCTTTTCACTTCATTTCCCTCCTCCTTCCTCTTAGCATTCAATTGTTTCTAATCTCCAAACTCTACTCCATCACGATTCAGAAGCCCCCGGCCCACACTACCTCTCAAAGAAACTAGAAACAGTTTTAATATGTCTTCCAACCGTCCCCATGTTGAGGGGCGTGGCTTTAGAGGTCCTCTCTTCCTGTTTCAAGTACCTATCACAGTTCAAAGGTCATGAGCAGACGTCCAAGCCTCCTCTATCATCTCTCGTCCACTCGACTTGTGAAGTTCTATATTCTCTTTTAACTCACTCTCCGAGCGGCTGGAGCCACACCCTCCTTCAGTGGGGCGTGGTTAATTTAGCAAGACTCTCGGTTTTGTATAATGTTGATTCATTACCGAAAGAGGGTGTGGTCAATTTTATGATGTCACAAGATTGTAAGAAAAATTCATTTTATATGTACATGTACATGTAATTCCATCTCTCTCTCTCTCTCTCTCTCTCTCTCTCTCTCTCTCTCTCTCTCTCTCTCTCTCTCTCTCTTTCTCTCCTTTAGCTGTTCCTTTTCTTGTTAAATTTGTCGAGGAAGGGATTCATTACAAGTAGGTGTGGTTTATTATTAATTAATTAATTACTTATTATTATTTACAGACATTCAAATGGAGAGACTGATATTATTAATTTATTTATTAATATTTCACAGAAAGAAAACGCAAACATTGGCTGGCTATTATCATACATAATGTCAGTAATTATAATAAATTAATAATTGTATTATTATTATTTTTTTTTATTATTCTTAGTATGGAGAATTCTTCTCTTTTTTCTGAGGGTTCGTTAATGGACGGGTGTGTCTTGACCACGCCCCTATCACCTTCAATATTAAACACGCTGTCGTCTTGTTTTGATCGTCTCTCGAGGACACACCCCCTTATAGTTAGCCACACCCTCCTTGGTATGGTCAGAAGAGTCCTTGATGAAGATGCTCCTACAAAGAGTAATGTAGTGGGTGTGGCTAGGGGCGGGGCCTCGTCCGTCTACCTTCAAGTGGTTTTAGAAATGATGCTACAAAGTCATTCAATCCTTGATCTCGTCATTACCGACGTAATCAAATTAAGTGAGTTAATTAGTAGGTGTGGTCTGTTACCATGACAATACCATAGTTACCCCTGAGGTCATATTATCCCTGGTCTGTTCCGAGTTGGAGAGAGGAATAAACGAAGAGAAGGAGGAGGGGGAAGAGGAAATGGAGACCGATCAGGACTCACCTCTTCTCTCCTCTCTCTCATCTTTACTGTTACAGTTATCTCATGACAGAGCTGTAGTCGCCATTAATCTGTTACTCTCTTCTCTTAATTATTATTCGTCAAGTTCTGGCGATAAAGTGGGCGGATCAGAAGAAGAGGAGGAGGAGGAAGAGGATGGAGAAATAAATACTTTAAGTTTAGCCAAAGGGCAGTTACTAGAAGCTGTCAAACAATTACTAGTCAGTTTATTAATTGACATTAATTATTATTATTATTATTATTACTGTTCCTATAGAATTCAGTTCTGTCAGTTTGTAAAAAAGGAGTATCATTTCTTTTATTTTCGTCAAACGAGGATGAACCCTCTCCTGGCAACAAGAAACCTGTTAATGCCTTCTCTCCCATACAGTACATCATATCAATACAATCAGGTCTACCTGAGTGGGTGGAGTTAGTTATTAAGTCACCTGATAACCACTGGTGAGAATAAGAAACAGTGTACGTGTACTGTACGTTTTCTTAAAATGGCTGTAACTTGAAAAATTTAAGTCGGAATTAGCTCAAACTTTCTACACAGCATAGGGGCATCAATATGTATCAGAAAATGTCATAAAAATTGGGGGTCATTTTTTGACCATTTTTCGGAAAAAAGCATGGGCTATAGCTTTGGGTACTTTTCAGATTTTGGCATATTTCTTAATGCTCATAATTCAGTATATCAACGATTGTTCTTAGGTTGATCCAGCTGGTGGAGAGTGTCGGAATGACCTCATCTGAAATAAGTGGAGCTACTGTACTAAACACTTTATTGTCCTCTACCAATAACAGTAAAGTAAGATATAAGAGGAATATGGACTGATAGATAGAAAAAGTGATAATTATTTTATTGGTTTTTTTTCCACCATGCAGCTGTCAAGTTTAGTCGATCATTTATTTAAAAGATACCGACTGCGTCATCCCTCCATAGCCCAGTCACTCATAACCCAAGGGGTAACCACTGGACTAATGAAAGAAAATGGCAACGAAACAATAAAGAAATGGAGTATCAACTTACTAACTTTAGCAAGAAATAACGAGTGAGGAGAAATATTGGAGGAGAGAGATTGATAGAAATTTGCTATGAACATGTACAATATTAAAAAGAAATTTTTCTACATGTAGGTCATGTTTTCAAGGTGCTTTGCTGTCATCATTCAATTCTCTACTCCTCCTTCTTCCTCTCTCTTCTCCTCTCTCCTCCATTCATATCCTGTCGCTACTGGAGACAGTATCGGCGAGAATGGCGAGAGAATCACAGCTATCGACTTCGTTATCAGCAGCTGGAATATTAATTAATTATTACCTGAAGACCCTGGGAGATCTGTCAATAGCAATCATGAATGGTTAGTGTAATGGAGTCTATTTTTCAACTCTCTCTCTCTCTCTCCAGATGCCCCTATCTTGTATGAATATGAACAATTGCTGAACAAGATAAGGTCATTGTTGTCACATTTATCAAGTGGTAACAGTCTCATTGAAGTATTCATTTGTTCAAATATATTGAGAACCATCACCAGTGAGGTAAGTACCTTATTGACTGTTGGCGGAGTACTATGATATTAATAATTTTATTTTAGAGTCAAATTAAGCTTGGTCCATCCCCGCCAGGTTAGTTCATTCCTTAATAACTATTAATAACTATGTTAATTAGGGGGTGTGGCTAGTAGTTTATTAACTATTAATAATCAAATGAGGCTCGTTGTGTCTGGTAATTTATTAAACACGAGACAGTCCCAACACTCTGAGAGTCTCTATCGACAAACTATGAAGAACCTCATAGTGGAGGACAAGGTTACTATAAATAGAATAAGTGTTACTAAAAATAGAATGAGTGTTACTATAAATAGAATGAGTGTTACTATAAATAGATTGCTATTAATAGTAACATTATTCATCAGGTCTCAATAGCTGGTATAGTATCAATGCATTGCTCTGATCATATCATAATGTTGATCAGTGATATCATATCAAAATCAACGCTAACGCTGGCATCATGTCTCACTGATACCGTGTCGCCACACTCACCCTCTCCTCTTAAGAACTGGCCAGAAATGAATTTTAAATCAGATCAGAGACACACCCTTGAGTTGTGAGTTAGGATCATGTGATTATCATGTGACATGTTTAATTATTATTATTATAGTCATTTAAAGATTAAAAGCAAAATGAATGAAAATCCTGTAATGTGGAAAATATTAATATTAATATCAAATAGTAAGAGAAAGAAATTATTTTTCATAACATTATTCTTCTTTCTCTTCAGATAGATCAGGTTTTCTAAAGTGTAGCTCATTAGTTTATTCATTATTATTTGTATTGATATTAAATTGGAGGAAAGGACGGTCTGCCCCTGCAATTAGTTATAACGAGGATTTACTATCAACCACCCAGTTAATACAATCACTAGCTACTGTGAGTGATATAAAATTAAAAATCACCACATGTACATGTACATAAGATACTAATGCAAGAGTGTACAGAGCAGTTTGCATATTAAAAATGCATAAAGGTCGATTAAATGTCTACGCAATCAACACAATGTCTTGTTTTTTTACGTGGTAGGCTTAGCAATTGTAGTAATAGTGTTATTTCAAGTTGCTTGACTAGCTGTTCTTCATCTCTTTCTCTCTCTCATTCTCTCTTCAAGGCTAAATGGTTGGTAAAGCCATTGTGTTATGTTAGTGAATTATTTAGTGAACTGTCTTGTGAAGACATAGCAAGATTGTTAGAAATATGTAACTCATTTATATATGTAAGTGTGAAGCTGTTACTATTATTATTATCTTGCTGCTCTTTTAGAGTAATTATCAAGATATACTAAAAGGAAAGATTCCTACTGAAGGTAGAAATGTAGTTCAATTTACTACCCTCCTCTCTCTTTCTCTCTCCCTCCCTCCAGATTCCCTCCCTGATAGTTCATGGAGTACATTGAAGGCAATATTAAGACAAAATATTAATAAATTTGGAAACATTTACTATAGATTTGTATCTAGAGAACACATCACTACTAATTAATAATAATAATAATATGAATGAAATTTAAAAAGCATGAGAACACACTACTATTATAATTAATAATCCATATAGTTATTGAAACTCCTGTTTAGATTGAATGGCACTGGTCCAGAGTATATTCTAATTGCATGTCATTTTACAATCGTCACAGTAATTAATGTTGAATTATCTGAATGTGTGAGAAGAATTTTATGACATTTTCTGGTTACAGTATGGTGCTCAAATGTTCTGTTGAACAGCTGTTTATCTAAATCAAGTGGAATTCTCTCAATATAAGAATTGTAGTCATTGATAACTTTAATAAAATCGCTTAGGTTAGATGTCTCTGACTTGGAGTATACTGTAACCATAGACCCTTAATAAAGGGTCTATGCTGTAACTTTGCATGACAAGTAATAAATATTTTTTTTATAATATGTAAGTAAGGTAAAAGAACTTAATTGTATTTTGCTGCTCATGACACCTAAGTGTTCAGCAAAAAATTCATCATAATGATTAGATCTAAGTGTTAAACTGTTATTTTTTCTGTACCAAATAAATTTCCATGACTTCCATTCAAATAAGGGTAGAACCGTTAGATCAAAGGTGTTTGGATCTGCTAGCATAGATATTCCAAATGTCAATTCTAGGAAAGATGACTGCCTTGCAGCTAAATTCATTGAACGTATAAACCCAGCACTAGATATCTCTATACATATCCGTTTGAGAGGCCTTCCATCAGAATCACTTATATCAGAAACACAAGTATCTGTCTTTTTTGTTCTTAAAGTCAACTCTTTCAGTTTTTCAATTTTCAGTAAAGAATTTCCTAAATTTTCTTGCAAAAATGAAAATTCTGGATTAGGTAATGAAACTAAATATAATCCTATTACAATGTCACTTGGTATAGCAAATACTTCTGTGAGCATGGTAGCATTGTTAATTAAGATTTTTATTTTTCCCTTGAAAACAGCTGATGAGGAGTGGGATTTGAGTCCTTTTCTGAAAGCTATTATTTGAGATAACCTTGAAGGTTCAATTGTGAGTGTAATATTATGAGCAGCAATGATATAACCACAAATAAAGTATTCAAAATCACTATAAAAAAAAATTCAAAGTGACTTCTTCTTGCATAAAAATATGACATTACGTATTTTTTATCAAGAAAATGCTTACTGGATAAAAGTGAGTCTTGTTCATACAAACATCTCAGTATTAAGCTAGAAAGCTCACTATAATATTGTGTTAAACCAAATACTTGAAAATTGTCGTTTAGATCTAATCGATAATAACGATCTTGTTTCAATATCATATCAATAGTTTTATTATCAACTTCTCTGTCAATAAACTTCAATAATCCAACATAGAAAGTCAAAACAACTTCAAGATTTGAGTTGTGCTCTAAGTCTTCTTTAGTAAACATGGAATCTGGATTATTGACAAGATAAATTGCTGCAAAGTATTCTTGTAGTGTAGTGTGTATGAAACTGCTAGACTCATCTTTATAAAATCCAGAAAAGCTATTGATTGTGTCCATCATACTTAGTTTTGGAACATCATGAAGCTCCTTTCCAAAAGCATATTGTTGTTTCATTACACCATTATAAGCTACTTTAGAAAGATAATAAAATTGCTTCCAAGTGCTATTTAATTCAGGACTATTAAAGTCAATACTACATATTAAAAGTTGAGGCATATCATAGTTTATATCAATTGCTTTATTATTGTCAATGAGGTGTCGCTTGAGCAGTATACGAACATAGTGGTTATAAATCCCCGTCATTGTTATGGGATATCCTTTATCATTACTAAGTATAAAATCATTAAATACTGTACACATTATGAAGCAGGTCATTGGATTGTACAGCATAATCTCAATCATAGTATCATGACTATAGTAAGAATGGAATTCATCAGCTAATGTTTTGTTATTTTCAAAATACTTTGTAGCATATTCTCTGGTTTCATTTGGGCTAAAGCCTAAAAGATAAAGACTTTTTGAATCATGTTCTAAATTATTATACAGAGGCAGACTAGCAGCAAGTCTGCTGGTAACTATCACTGTTGACTTGGGAAGAATGTCTCCTTTTATAAATTTAATGAATAATGAAGTTGAACTGTTTCTCAGTTGATGTGGAAGCTCATCAAAACCGTCTAATATCCAGAGAACACCTGCTCCTCTTGTTTTTTTTATTGATAATGCTATTTCAGTCATATTAATGTCATCAAAATTAATAAGAAGATTTTCAAACGTTTTAGCTTTTTGATAAATTTCAAGACGCAATGTAACAAAAATAACAATCTTAAAATTGTTTAATAATTTATCAGTATTTCTGACCCATCGCAACGTTAGTTCTTTAGCTAATGTGCTTTTTCCTATGCCAGGCTCTCCTTCAATTAATACAAATCTTAATCGTTTATCTGCCAGTGGTTTTAAAATATCATCAATTTCTATACGCTCATATTTTTCCAGTATTTCTTCAATAGAAGCTGTTTTTAAAAAACCTGCATCTTCTTTTCCATGTCTTTCTAATCTAATTAACTTTAGAGGTACAAAAGAAACATAAATAGGGGCTGACGGGCCAGCAGCTGGAACTTTATTAATATCTGGATCTCTATACCTCGTCAGTTTCTCAGCATACTCATCACATAATTTAATAGCATATTCATCGATCACTGTTGCCCTTAATGATATATAAATAATTATTGCTACAAGAACCAATACCGGTGTTACGATCCACCATAATGATGTAGAACATTGATCAGGAATTGTAGGTATTGGCTCTGTAACTAAATTTGCAAAAATATTAAGGGAAAATGTTAGAAACCACAAATAAATCACTAACTTTCATTATCATCCTTTCTGAATTGATTCCTTATTTCCTCTGCTGTAGCTTTGTCTCCAGTCTCTTCCACTATATCAGCTAATCTCTCTAAAGTCGGTTCTCCTTTTCCATCAACATTATCCTTCTTCTTCAGCCAGCAAGTCACAGTGTCTCTGAAACATTTTTCAACAGATCCAGGTTTACCAGCATTATTAGCTTGTATTGCTTCCAATGTGTTGTAGTGAAGGCCACACTCAAGACCAAATGTTTCCCATTCAGTTTTAGAAAACTGTTTCAAATTAGACAAAACAACTTTAAGATGTTTGATATCTGTAAGACGGGGGATCGTGAGAAACACAATCAGTAAAATTACTAACTCAAGCGGATAGTTTTAGCTGCAATCGAGGTCATGAGAACAGAACTCAGTGAACAGAAAAGAACAGCACAAAGTCACAGAATTCAAGAAAGAATTTGGTTAGTTGTAAAGAATTTGCTTAGCTGTAAAGAATTTGCAATTGTTTGTAACTAGATCTAGATCTAGGCCACACCTATAGGAAACTTAGCTAGGAATATTGGATATCTATTTTATCATAGATATTAGAGTACACAATATCTATGTGTACTATATGTGTATAATCTATATTTATGTGTACTCTAACAGCCAAGAATTATCATCTCTGATACAGGCCACTACCCAAAATTAATGATTCAAGCCTGATGTCTATTTTGATACAGTCCTGACTGGCATCAATGTTGAGTCATGTCTGTTGCTCTGGCTGAACCAGGGCCGTACTCCAGCATGGTTGTATCATGGATGATCATCATTATTATATCATACTAGACTGATTGCTTTGCAGGCTGCCCAAAAGGGAATATATCAAGGCAGTGGCGGATCTGGGCCCGGGCCTAGACGGGCCATGGCCCGGGCATCAGAAGTCAGTAATGAGATTCATTAGATGCAATGTAAACAATTCCCTGCCTCAAGTTTTGATAAAGCAAACCACAAGCCACACCAGAGTACTTACAGGTGCTTGAAGAGCATTATAAGCACAGCATAGATGAGGAAATTGTTGAAACCCATCATAAAAATGGCCAAAAGATGGATAACCATAAAATAACTGGTTGAAAAGTGGACACACCCACTTCCTGGCCCTTGCACCCAGATCCGCCACTGTATCAAGGCTGATCCTGATTGATATCAGTTATGATCATAGGCGGTTCCAGGATTGTGGAAGCAGGTGGGCAAGGGGGGAAATAAAATGGCGCGCGAAGCGCGCCGCGATTTTGACCACGCCCGCTTTTTCCCCGCTGCGCGGAACTACATTTCCCCGTAATATTAGGGGCCTCGCAATATTTAATTTTTCAACCATTGTCATCCTCTGTGCATCATGTGCCGTGAGTGTGACTTCGTGATTGACTACGAGACTTTAGTC